TCAAGAAAGAAGAAGTCCAATGCAAATGTCATCTACTACCTTTATCCACCATGGTTGCTATAAAATTCCCAAGACCCATAGCAAATGGGAGAAATCTTTGGTGAGAGAGAGAATCCATCGACACTGAAATGGGTTTGGCTTGATTGGTTCGATTCACGCCTTTCGTTCGATGTTCTTCCTCTATTGACACTGAATGAGTTTGGTGTTGGTAGCAAGCATTTCGTTTGGATGGATGGCCGAGGGGAACCACCAGGGGAGCGCGTGGTTGTTAATGGGTATCACCTCCATTATATTGGTGGAAAGTTGAAGAGAGAATCCATGAACAATCATTCACACATCTCTCTGTCTCTCTGGCAATGAAAATTTGGCTTTTGTTGGATGAGAAGGGGATTGGTTTTATTTTTCCTATATTTTTAGATTTTTTTTGAAAGTGATGAAAAATGTGATCTAAAGATGAGTAATTTTGTTATTTCAAAAAACTTTTAGATCATTTTATTTTAACTTTGAGCTAATTATTCCTCACATCCTAAATATATTAGTTAATTGCAAAAATTTTAGAAGTGTGAGGGGCAAATTGTTGAAATTGAAATCAGAGAGAGTCGATTATAACATGACCCAAACTTGAAGGGGCAAATTGTAATTAACCCTTTTTTTTTTCTTATCAAGGGTAAAGATTATTCGACTAAATTTATATGTACTTTAACTAAATTTTTTTTTTAACTCGATCGAATGCAAATTATCCACACTTAGACTAGAGTATTTATAAAAAATAAATCTATCATAATCTGATTCTAAAAGATTGTCAAAATGTGAATTTAAGACTTAGATGAGATTATCCATATAAAGTTCTACTATACTATAAAGGTGAAGTCAAAATAAAGCACCTTATAATAAAGAGAAAGGACTCATACAAAGCATCCATTAGTCTTAAATGTCTTTCCTTTTCCTAAGGTTTCTTCGGACGTCACTCAAATCGAAGGATTTGTTCGTATCAATTATAAAATTTTTGAAGATTTCTTAGATGTGTAGCAACACCTTAAATATTATTTATACATATGACCCATCTTTATCTGTATAAAACTTTTTAATGTGTAAAGTCAAAAGAAAGGACATTACAACGAGAGGGGACTTATGGTATCGCCATAGAATCAACAAATCAAAACTGTTTTTTCCCTAGCCAAGACTTCTATAGCTTTTTCTTGTATGTTATTGCTAAGTTTATCGTCAATAGGTCTATCTATTTTTTTTATAGTGGCTCGGGTTAGTGGCAAGTTTGATCTTCATTATTTACCTCACCAAATAATTAACAATTGATCTAATGATCATCGTTTATGGTTACAGGTGCTCCTCTTCGCCCCTCCCTTTTGCGTAACCAAAAAAAAAAAAAAACTCATTTTATGGTGTATGATATAATACGGCGGCCCACGCAAATCAATGGCCGGTTTTCTTCGGTTGGGAAAAAATCTGACGCCCGACCCTTATTTATGCGTCTAAGCCAAACAAGCGTTACGGTTCCAACTGTATCCACTACGTGGCAACATACTAGTAGTTTGATCTGGCACCACCCATCCAACCGTATCTGTCCACATACACGCACACCGCTTCGAGTAGCTCTATACAGTAGGTGGCCGCACGTGATAGCCACGCCACGTGTTGGCACATCCAAGTCACATACCGGGCCGCGTGATTAGCTGGTGAAAAAAGGTACGTGCTTAGTTGGACTGCACAACAGGTGACAAACCAATCAAAGAGCGACACGTGGGTTACTTAAGCCTGGTGTGATTAGCGAAATTGAAGCGGTAAACACGGAGATTGAGTCCAAGTAGGTGAATGTGTGTTCTTTCCGCAGCCGAAAAGGGCAAATGGTAATGGCCGTGTTGGAATTTGAACCAACGGGAGAGACTCGAGACTTATCTGGAAACCCAGTGGAAGAAGTCTAATTAATTTGAATAAAAAAACCAAAATGCCCTCGGCGTTGTCATTTATTACATGGTGGTGGAGCTTGACCGGGTTGGAAAATTTACCTTCAATTTTGGCTTTACCTTGGTCATACTTCCCATTGACTACAGTTTTCCCATACTGGTGCTGAGATTTGTAATCACCAAGAAATAAGTTCTAAATTGATTTTAAAGTTGAAATGATTATTAAATACTCATAATAAATAATTTATATAAATATTTCACATTTAAAGTATACTATAAAGATTTTTTTTTTGTGAGTTTAGACAAAAACACGATATGAATAACAATAATATGATACGAATATAAATATGAATAATAAAAATACGAAACGAAACGAAACGAAACGAAACGAAATGTCACTCTAATTCCATTTAGTTAACAAAAAAGGAATAATGAAAAAAAAAAGTGAAAAAAAAAGATTTTCATGCATATATTTAAATAGTTAGCATAAAAAACAAGAAAGTTCTAAAAAATTATTTTATTTTTGGAAAGAACTAAGTTATAAATTTTTTTTTTCAATTGACTAAATTATTCTTAATTATATTAAATTGGTGTAAAGAAGAAAATTTTTTTATTATAATTAAAAATTATTTTTTTAAAAAAATGTGGCTTATATTCTAATTTTGGGACAAGGATGGACTAAAACCCGACTTTTAGGTCAAATTATATGGATAACCTAATCTACCAAGTTTTTTCAAACTTAATTACCAATTGAATATTAAAAAAAAAAAAAAACCAATTGAATATTGAGTAATTATCATCCACACCTTATCTATATAAATATATCAACCATACTACTCCTTCTATTATCCAAAATGTCACCGACACCTAAATAGGTTTTTTATAAACATTTACAAACCACACGAATCAATTATTTTCTAATTTATCATATGTGTATGCTACTTCTATAATTTTATGCAAGTACTTTTTTTTAAATAATATTTTTTATTGTTTAATCACATATCCATGTCAATATGTACATTTTCATCCCACTTATTTTTTCTGGTTTATCGTTTTTATTTTTAATTATCCAACATTCTTTCTATACCACAAAAAAATCACCTGTCCAAATAAAATATCTCTAGCTTATACCTTTTTTTAAACTCAAATTTAAATTTGGTTAAAAATCCCTTAAAAACCGTCTTCAATCCTATACTCACATCCATGCCAAATCAAGAGAGGCTTGAGCTTTTACAAAAATCACCGGTAGTTAAATTTCATTCTCGTTTAAAAGATTTAATAATCATATTTTATCTTTTATTTAAATTTAAGTTTGTTCTCATTCAAATTCGAGATTGTGCTCCTTTAAATATGAGTTTTTTTCATTGAAATATCTTATATAAAATCAAACTTTTTTACTCAAATATTGACTCAAATCTGAATAAAAATTAAAGACACTCGAATAGTTACGGCACAAAATTATCTTTCACAAGAAGTGGTATAAATAAAATTGATCATTTAATCTTTATGGTTGAAAAGTTTAGAACCCCAGCATAAAAAAAGAAAAAAGAAAAAAGAAAAAGAAAAAAAAAAGGGCATTACAATCCATCAAAAAAAGAAGAAAGATGATGATAAACTTCACCCGAAAGCATCTTCTACATTTTTGTCTCCTTGCACTATTTTTCTAAAAGATCCAACCTCCTCCTCCCAAAAGATCTTTATATCAAATACAATCTACAGTACATTTAATCAATCAATCAATGAACAAAGAAAACGTGGACAATTTCATCTCCTACTGCTATAAAAAAAAAAAAAAGGCAATATCAGATTCTCTTTTTTGAATCCAAATTAACATATTTAATTTGAGGATCAGATTATAAACTGTACGTGATAAGGTTTGGCTTGGGAGGAGACAATCTGGTCACAATTTGGAAAAAACGTTGGGAGAACAATTACATCATTTATTTATTAATCGGTCATTAATAAATAAATAAATTTACAAATTTACAACCATATAATAAATAATCATTTCCATGATAGTAAATGTGCCATATTTTATTATTTTTATATTAAATAATTATATCATATCAATATTATTGACATGATGTAAAAGATTAGGCCTAATATTTAATCACACAACTTGACCCAACTTTTAGCAGAAATTTAGGAACATTTATGCACCTCCCATGTGAGATAAATCCGGAATTTTCGATTTAAGGAAGAGTAGTCGGCCGCAGTCATTTTTCCCTAAAAATACGGGGGCACAGTTTTTGCCTCTTATTCTTCCTCCGTAACCCCCACAATGGCATATAACTGTGATTTTATACATGACCAGGCAGTTTTATTGAACTAGTCTACAAGTGAGACCCTTTCAACTAATGGGACTAAGCTTGCAACAATTTAGAAGCATCCTAAGAATAAACAACATCCACCAATTATGTCACAAGTAGAGAAAAATAAACCAAAGCAGATAATAATTCTTAACACGGTCCAACATAAGACTAGTATCAAATAGCTAGATATGATTTAATCCTAATTTCAAACGAGTTTGATTCATAACAATCTATATTACACTAATTCAGTGAATAAATTAACTAATCTCTAGTTCAAGTTGTAATAGAGATGAGTTGTAAATTCAGACTTTTTGAGTTCGAATCTTAGTAATTCTTTGTAGTCAGACCAATGAGAAATTTATCTCACTTTAGTATCATAGTCCCCCACACATGGATATCCTTTATTTGATCGAATCAGAAAGAAAATTAGTCGAGATGCGCCTAAACTGATCTAGACACCTAGATATATGAATATGGGTCGATCAAATAAACAACTTGTAACAAAATATAATTTAGACACAACCTTATTCTTGGCATGCTTAATTGACACCAAGAGGATATAATCAGGAAGGTCATAGGACATGTTCCAGGAGGGGATAATTTTGTCAATTAAACGAAAAAAAAAATTAGCGGACTTAGTTGAAAGTTTGAATAGAAAAACATCCCATGAGAAAAGAAAAGTCATAGCACATGTTCGCCAGAGGCCAATTTTGTAAATTGAACAAAATTGGACCTACCATGTTAGGCATATCCGTATGGATAAGGTTCATCAACGAAATTCAATTCAATTCAAATCAGAGTTTCCCCATTTCTTTTCCATTATTTATTTATTGAAATAAAATATAAATAATTAATTTAAAATTCCACTCACCGCCATGACTTTGAAATTCCTTTGTTCTTCGTTCTTCGCTTTGCGCACGCGTTTCCTCTGTTCATGTCCCCTAAACCCTCACTATAAATACCTCTTTCCGTCTCTCTTCTCTTTTCCAAACTGAAACCACAAAACGTTTACACACACAGATATCCATATCCATTACCCACCAGAAAATGGTCGATTTAGACTGGAAATCTAAGATGGTGTCCTCCGATATACCTAGTAAATCGCCGAAACTCTCGAATAAACTCAAGATTTCGATACCACCACCGGCTAGAACCGGCGATTTAGCGCCGGCTTCTGAGGCTGCTTGTTCGGCTTACGAGCACTACCTTCGACTTCCGGAGCTGAAGAGGCTTTGGGGTTCGAAGGAGTTTCCGAATTGGAAAAATGAGTCTGTTCTTAAACCGGCTTTGCAGGCTTTGGAAATTACGTTCCGGTTCGTTTCGACCGTTTTGTCCGACCCTAGACCGTATGCGAATCGGAGGGAATGGAGGAGAAGGCTCGAGTCTCTAAGCATGAGTCAGATTGAACTCATAGCGATGTTATGTGAAGATGAAGAAGAGGATAGCGAGGCACGTGGCACAGCCCCAATCGTTGATTTGACATCATCCGATGGTGTATTGTCTCGCGAAAACAGCTCGGCGGAGGTCTGGAAGCTCGCCGGAGATGCGACGGTGGTGAGTCGAACCAGCGAAGCTAGCTTGCTTCCACGGCTGGCCTCGTGGAAGAAATCGGAGGATATTGCAGAGAAGATTTTGTACTGCATCGAGTGCGAGATGAGGAGGTGTCCGTACACCCTAGGTTTGGGCGAGCCAAACCTCGCCGGAAAACCTAGCTTGGACTATGATCTGGTCTGCAAGCCGACGGAACTTCGTTCTCTGAAGAAAAGCCCCTCCGATCAAGCAAATTTGGATAATTTCGAAAATCAAACTCTCTACACGACGCACCAGATCTTAGAATCATGGATCTATGTTGCTCAACAGCTCCTGAATCGCATCACAGACCGAATCGATCGCAAGGACATCGACAAAGCATCAAGTGATTGCTGGTTAGTGGAGAAGATATGGAAACTCTTAGCAGAAATCGAAGATCTACATTTACTAATGGATCCGGACGATTTTCTCCGATTGAAAAACCAGCTCTCGATTAAAGCATCGACGGCGTCCGAATCATTCTGTTTCCGATCAAGATTGCTCATCGAGATCACGAAGCTCTCGAAGGACTTGAAGCACAAAGTTCCGAACATCCTTGACGTTGAAGTGGACCCAAAAGGAGGTCCAAGAATACTAGAAACCACCATGAATCTGTACATGAAAAAGGAGGGTTTTGACAGGATTCATCTTCTTCAAGGCTTGCAGGCCATCGAAGCGGCGTTAAAGAGGTTTTACTATTCGTATAAGCAACTGATTGCGATTGTGATGGGGTCTTTGGAAGCTAAAGGTAATGGAGGTTTTGCGACGGCGGAGGATTCGTTGGGGCAGATCTTTCTTGAGCCGACGTATTTTCCAAGCCTTGACGGAGCCAAGACGTTTCTGGGGGATTACTGGAGCCATGAACGTGGAAGGTACAGTCCGGAGAGACGAACTCGGGGGAAGAAATGAGGGGAAACCTGGGTTGACTCGGTGTCTGACTCTAGGTTGAATGGATTGAATTGACTCGGTCAGGTTGAGTTGATGAGGTTTGAAGGGGATAATTAATTTGTTAATTAGAACAGGTTGGGTTGACTCGGTTGTTTAGAATTAAAAAGACAGGTCATATTATTATTTTCTTCTGGTGATAGAATTTGAATTTGGTCCTGTTGTAAAATTTTGCCATATTATTCTTATGAATTATTTTTAATTCTTTTATATTTTAGGTTAATTGTATTGATGGTCCACAAAGTAAAGAATTTGTTTTATTTTATTTTTTAATATTATAATTATATTATTTTAATCGCTAAAGTATTAAATATATTTTTATGTAATCATTCGAACAGACAATATTCAAATTATTAATAATTTTTTATCATAAATTTGTCACGTGATACCTAAATATGACTAAAAATAATTTGGTTAGTTCGTGAACAAAATTTGGGTAATTTTGTTATCAAGTTATCAAGCTAAGCCCACAGGGTTATCAAGTTAGTAACACATAAAGTAGTAGCAGTACAATTTTTTGGTGTTTTGGTACAGGGGAAAAGGAATTTTTTTTTAATTTTTTAATTTTGAACTGGTTAAGGAATATTGAAACAGCGTAGCAGTAGCATTCTCTTGTGTTTGTTGACAAGAAAGGTGGGTGACTTCGCCGAGTCTTGAAGCGTGGTGCAGCATGCAATTTTTTTCTGCCTTTTTCTCTCTCTCCTGCTACTACTTTGCATGCCCATTTGCTTGGTCATCGTTACACTTGATCGCAGATCGAACTTTTCCTTCACCGGAATCATAGTCCGACGACTTCTCCTTCTTGATTTCATATAAAAGATTCAAACTTTTGGCAACTCACATGTCTTGTCTGCAGATGCAGCAAAACACTTGTCTTCTCTTCCTCGGATTAACAAACATACAGAGAAATATGTTATTCATAGCTTTATAAGGCTTAAGGTTGGTTGTATTTCTAACCTTAATCTATCTTTGATGCTGTTCTATTGTTCGACCAGCTGTTGTACTGTGCGCTCTTATTTTAATATTTGGAAATGTTAAAAGGAATAATACTTGGTAGGGTTTTAGGGCTTTTATATGTATGTTTGATTTTGAAATTTTGGGATTTCACAGGTATATGTTTACGAATGGCCTCACAAGTTTGCATGAACAATTTGTGCCGGGCGTCATCGTCGTCGACCGATTGGAAAAAAGGCTGGCCCCTGCGATCCGGTGAATTTGCCAATCTTTGTGATAAGTGCGGGTAATTCAGATCTCTGTCTAAATGTTTTTGAACTTTGAAATTTTATTTACTTCGCTTATTTTGGGGTCAGAAGCTGCTACTTAGGTGCATAGAATCCATAGTTTACGTTGTTTATTTGAGTTTTTAATTTCTATCTTTTATTTTGCTTTATTTGTATCTTTGTGTTCTATGTGGCTTGTTTATTTGCGATACTTTGAATACCCTATAACAAAAAACAAATATGAAAACAACATAGATCAGATTGAAATGACGCAGCTAACGTCATTGTTTGCACCTTAATTTCAAAAAACATGAGGTAAAGATAGGTTGGCGATACATCGCCCGGATATGTCAAAGGGTTGTGGCATACAGACAAAAACGACTACCATATTATGGAGATGTGATGAAGAGTTTCTCACGGAAAATTATCAAGCGTGTTATGGTCGTTAGGTATAAAAGATTTTTCATATGTGGGTGGTGATGTCGAAAAAAGCGGCTGGCTTCTATTGTCAAACTTGTTAGCTTCCCCTCTTCTAGTTTTGCATTCTTGCAGGTCGTAGACACATGTTCAATTGATAATAATTCTAAACTTGGTGACTACTTCGACTAATCGAAGTTGCCCAACTTTGACCAAAAGCCCAAAGGCAAACGTTCCATTAACCAGGCCATAAAAGTCATGACGTCTGTAATGATAATTATTTAGACTAACAAATCGTACCACATCATTATTATCACGTCTTATCAATATCTTATAAAAAAAATTAAAAAAGAAAATAAATCTTACTTCTTCACATGAGATAGTTATTATACTACACTTGATTAGTAATTATTGAATTAAACGAAATTCAGCTATCCGTATTCTTATTGACTTGTAACACGGCAAAAAATAATGATATTGTGTCATCATTATAGTTAATATTTTCTCTCAAAAAAGAGAAAGAGAAAGAGACATAGAAGACGGAAGAGGCCAAGAGAGAGAGAGAGAGCCCAATAATGTACAGGCGATCATCGACGGCCCGAGGGCGAGCCATAGGTAGTTAATGAGTCAATAAAATTGGGGTAATAATAGAAATATATAATCTATCAGATTATACTGTAAAATAAGTGGGTTTACAAGTGCTGTCCTATGGATTTTGGGCTTTTATAATGGTCCAATAGAGATTTAGACTTTTGGGCTTTTATAACCAAATTCTAAAGAATTTTTTCAAGCCCAAAAATTTTGACCGAGGGCATAAAGGCCCAAACAAATACATTAGCCCCTCCTTTCTCACGCCTCTGTACTCTCTTCACTCTCGCCCATCCGAACGGTCATAGATCTGGAAAACAATGGCGTCAAGCGATCAAACAGTGTTGTTGCGATTTACATTACGACGAGCGTGTCAGCTAAGGTTCACCCTTTGGTGATCTTCAACATCTGCTACTGCTAGTGCTATGTGAGATCACTTTATTTGTCAAGCATCAAAAGAACGCAGCTCAGCTTAGCAGATAAGTTGAAAACGGCTACTCAGATTTTGCAGCTGTTTCTATCATCTCTTTTCAAGGGGGAATTAATGACCAATTTTATTAAGTATTGACATAATTTTTATACAAAAAAAGATGTTTTTATTTATTTTTATTATTATAATCATTAAGTTAACTTTCGCTTTATAAAAAAAATATGAACATTAAATCGATTGAGGGATAATGGAATATTGAACTTAAATCTTAGCATTAAATTTATTTATTAACGGGTTATATGAGTTCAAACGAACAGGACATAAAAATAAACAAATCGGATCAATACGATATACAAAGTTGAGTTATAATTGATTAATCCTCGACGAGAATCCATATAATTACACAACATGATTGCCACCCATGCATGTAACTATTGTACAAGTAGGGCCGGTTCAGGTCACTGAACTTCAATTCAACTGATTGCACTTCTGATTGTTTGTCAGGCAACATGATTGGGCATTCGATCCGAAGAAAGAATGCACATTGCTTCCCCTAAAACCCTGATAATGGTGTCTCGATAGTGGGTGTTTTAAGAACTTCCACTACTCAGAGTTCTGACAAACCTAGTGGAGACAACAAAATAAAATTACCGAAATTGTTGGGCGGCCTATATTTCACGCGTGCCTCTCTCTCTCTTTCTCTCTCTCTCTCTCATACATACACAGACAGACAGACCACTATGGTAGACTTCTCGATACTCACTGAAAAACATATCCTGTGTTTGTGCATGTCGGAGGTGTGATCGAAACACCCCCCACTTTCACTTTCTCGTTGAGATAAAGAAGAGGAGAAAAGATGTGTCAGGATCTTCTTGGACCATTGGAAAGTACCAAGTAGATCCAACGGATGGCACTTTCACCAATCTAACCTTTCGATACTTCCTATAACCAACTGCTTTACCATTTAAAACTAAAATTTTCCACCAACATACGCTTTTTTTTAAATAACGTTAGCCCCTTGTTTGGATAATTTGAATGATGCTTTGGGCCGGAGGCAGCAGGGTGGTGATTATAATGGTGGTAATTGGGGATGTATTGAGGGATTAGATTAGATTAGAATAGATTTTGGGAGACAGATCTTTTAGAGAAGTTCTTAGGAGAGTTGTGGGGAGAAAAAAAAATTGAAGAAAGAGACAACTCTATATAGTTAGCAAGAACCAGCTATCTAGCCTAGTAGGGTGGAATTAGCTTAGTCTCTCGTTTGTTAGAATATGGTCCTTAATAAAGCCTAAAACAAAACATGATTCATATACCGAATCTTAAAATGTCCAGGACTATACCCAGTTGAGTTCATGCAATCGTCAAAAGTTTTGATGAAATATCAATTAAAACACACGTTTGAGACATTTTTATTAAAAGAAAAAAGAAACATGCCTAAGAGTTAGGTAGAACGCATCAAACAATAACGCCAAGAGCTAACAGACATATAAACTCTATAAATGTAAGAGCAACATTCTTGGGAATTGTAGAAAGCACGCACAACAAATCGAACCTGAATAAAGAATCACAAACTGTATCAAAACAAGGGGTTCCGACCGGCAAAGAGTGGGATAAGAATAAACAAAGGACTAGAGTGAAAAGAACAGCTTAGACTGTTACACAAAGTAGGGAAAGATAACCTATTGATCAATACGATCCTCAGCTGTCAGGGAATTATAAAAGAATAACGTTATTGAGACCTAAAAATTTAATCTAATTTATTGATCTAATGATGTAATTTTATTGTAACTATTAGATGAATACTAAGTTTCAATATTTGATGAGACCCACAATCAATTTAGGTCAATAAAAAAAATCTCAATAGTATGTTCTATCTCCTTATAAAAAGCTTCACGAGACAGAGAGAGAGCTGTACGAAGGACATACTGTAGCAAATGCTTCATAAACTAAGTATTGTTAGCATAAAAACCTAATTTGTCAAGGTAGTTCAAATAGAAAGAGTTAGGGTTTATTATTGCGGGTCTTGAATTTGATAGCCGGACCTAATTTAAAGACTTAATACAACGTTGTCGTCTTTGGATTGACCGTAGACTTCATTAATTGTTGTGACTTGCTATTAATCTAATGATCACTATATATTAGGTTTTGAAATTAAGTCCAATAGCATTTTTCGTTTAAAAGTAGATACTAAACACGATATAAAAGTAATTATGAGCCAACTAGCCAATAAAATTTATATTTAGCAGCCAGAGACAGAAGCTTGACGACATCAAAAATGCCAAAGTTGGTCCTTTCTAGTTGGTCATGTGCTTGCCTCTCTCCTCTCAAATCTTAATTTGGTGGCTTTAGTGTCGTCTAGCTTATGTTTCCACACCCTCAAAAGAAGGCCTAAACCCTATTTTTTTTTTTGACTGAAGAGGACGCATGGGTCAACTAAACTCAGTATCTATGTCAGTAATGGCGATCACAACCTTCCAGCTAAGATCAGACAATGTGAACTTTGACTTTCACCACCATTGATCTTCTTTGCAAGTAAACATTAATAATTTTTAGCAGACTATAATATTTTATGGGAAAAGCTTGGATTACTAGTATGTCTTAACAGGTTTGTCCCCATTACACCAACCTACTTAATTATAATCAGCACGACAAAATTAAACTATGTCACAAGTTTATAAGTGCACTATCAACTCAAGATTCTTGTACACTATTTAAATACCTACTACTCTGATATTGCCTCATAATTGAACCAAGTAGATATCAAAACACATCAGATTTTAGTCGATTTGAATCTGAATTTAATCTAAATACTTTTACTTGAATCAGATCTGATAACTTCCTGGTGCGTGCCAATAATTCAAGTGGTGATTTGGCATCGTGAGCAGAAGTCGATAGAGGAAAGTGGCAGCCGAGACCAGCTCCTTCGCTGGCCGGCAGTTGAGAGAAGAGAGCAAAACTCCATTAGTATACTGAATTCATTCATTATAGTTTTTTGTGATCCCATATATGTATCTTTATAGAAAGGGGTAATGGGTGTTTAGGATGCTAAGCAAAGATGTGTGGATTAGTTACCTACTAAAAAATTGAAAAGCTTTTTTTTTTTTGATATTTAAAAATTGAAAAATCTGATCCTATGCAAACAATCATTAAAAATGTAGTTTGCCAAATTAAACTTCGATTTCAACTCAATTTCATCAAATATTACTTAGTGTTATCAGATATTTTTGTATATCTTCATATTGGATGGCTACAAGATAGGACACTAACACATATACAACTCTGAACTGATGAAATGTAATAAAATGAATTCGAATTCGATTTTAAATAATTAGACAAAAATACTCGTTCAAATCAAATTAATCGAATTCAAACTTAGATTGGATACGAATGTATGACAGCCTCGAAACCAAGACTCATGCACCCACTTAAAGTTTTTTAATGCAAAAGTTGAGAAGTTACCTCTTTGTCTGCTCGCCGAACGAAGCTTTGAACAGTGGCAGCTTTTGTGCATGTCTATCTCTCTCTACACAAAAAACCAAGCAAAAACAATGTGATCAAAATCCTCAAAGTTCTATCTCCCACTCCCTAAAATCAGAGCAGAGTGACATAAACAAAAGGCTTATTCTCCTGCACTTACACCTCAAATTAAACAAATCAAAAGACAGTCACACCAACATTATAAACAAATCATCTTATCTTCCTATATAAATGCACACGTACTTAAAACTCTTTTTGAGTTCAGAAGCTCAGAACTAAAGATCAGTGTTTCAGAAACTAGTCATACAAGTTGTTCCTTTCTTTGTTATGGAAGAGGGAATGTCAGGCTTTTGTATTAAACCACGCGGTAGTGGTGGTGGTTGGTGGGGGTGGTGGCACCAAGTGTGGAAGGTGGAATCCAACCACCGAACAGGTTAAAGTTCTGACTGATCTGTTCAGGTCTGGACTCCGAACCCCTAGTACTGATCAGATCCAAAAGATCTCTTCGCAGCTGAGCTTTTATGGTAAGATCGAGAGCAAGAATGTCTTTTACTGGTTTCAAAACCATAAAGCTAGGGAAAGACAGAAACGTCGCAGGGTTTTGGTTGATGAACGAAATGAGATACACCGAGAAGACAAAGTTGCCACAGCAAAACGTAAGTCAACAATTTAAAACAACACTTCAAATACTTTCTTGAGCATTTTCCTTCACTTTCTTTCATGTACCAAGAACCAAACAAGGAGGTTTGGCAATAAAATGGTAAAAAAAGTATATGTCTAAGAATATAATTAGTATATACTTTTTTTTTTCTTTTGCAGATTTTGGAGAGATAAATCAGGTTTCGGAGCCTGAAAGAGTGGTTGAGACCTTGCAACTCTTTCCATTGAACTCATTCAGCGAATTGGAATCAGAGAAGCTGAGGTTTTTTGCGAAGGAAGGAAAGGAGAATACGTCGTTTTCTTATAGTTTTGGGGCCGATATGAATCATCCACCATTGGATCTGCGTTTGAGTTTCCTGTAAACAATGCTTAGAAGGAATCTTAATATAATTCTCTAACATTTCATGTTATGATTCGAAGATCAGCTCTTAGGTTAGCAAGATAAAAAAAGAAGAAGAAGAAAAATATTAGAACTTGGTAAAGTGACGGAGAAAGATTCTGTAGTGAGTTGTCCAATGCACGTAGCTCTAGATATTGAAACTCTATAAATGCTTCGACATTCTCCTCTGCATTTTCATAACATCATGTTTTTCTCTTTGATTACTGTGTTAGATACTTAAAAACACTTACAGATGAATGCTTGGAAATCGAACTTTGCTTCCTCCCACAACAAATGCTTCCTTGGGAACTCCTTTTTTAGCATTGGTATACCTTCAGGCTTCAAACAAGTCCTACCTTGAATTTGGTTCCATGGGTTTAAGCTATCGAAAATGCTATTTGAACTGAATTTGGAGACCTAATTTAACGCCTATTCAGGGACTGTGAACAGTAATGGGGCTGTGCTGTGAACAGTGAACAGTGAACAGTAATTTTGGTTAGGAATCACTCCTAGGGTTCCGTACATCACACTTAGGGTTAGAATTGCATCAAGAAACATGTAATTGCTGAAAATTTTAATTATATCTCTCTTTTTTATTAAAAGTAACACTAATTATATATAGAGTTCCAAATATTCCTAATCCCAAAAAGATTAGGATTCCAAAGTCTCTAGAACTTCAAAGACACAATGTCCCTAAAAATTAAAAAACTAAAATTAACTAAAACTAAGATTTTAAATTTTAGAATATTCAACACTAGAAATTGACCTAAAAAATATGATCTGTTCCAGAAATTCTAAAATTTACAAAAAATACCCCTGCCACTAAAAAATATTAAAAGGACATATAAAATACTAATACTGACAAATTGACTTAAAATGAGAATCAAAATACAATGATACAAGATTCCATATGGATCTTTATCTTGATGAAAAGTCAATTCCATTATCTTTCACATTTTCAAATTTGTATTTCCTTGTGCATCTTATGGATTGCATCAATTAGATTGAAAGTGGTCCCCATTTATCATTGAAACTTACAACTAATTCAATGACTGCATTGAATTAAGTTCCAATAGCATTGCTCACAAGCTATGCTTGTGGTTAAAGCATGTTTACAGTCATAAACTGAAGTTTATTCTACAAGAGCGAATCCACTATGATCCTGACTTGGAGAAATTCCTCGTCATGAGAAAAATGTTTTAAAAAGTTGGTGGGCAAGATACACGAGCTAACGTGGTTAATGCTTTGACAACTATTGTCCTATGATACTTTACTTTCTCAACAATGAGCCATCGATGATGATTGATCTCATTATTGTAGTACAATGTGTATAGGCTATGTATAATCAGGGAATAGCGCTATGAAAAAATGTGTAACAAACCCAATGTGGACCGAATTTTTCAGTGGACTAGGTTACAATGACAGATTTCGCCAGTCTAGCAATAAAGACCTCATTTGGCATGTGCACTACGAAATTTCCCATATAATCCATTCAACTAATTGTTTCTACTCGGACTATCAAATTAACATAATTGTCTCTCATGCATCTGTTCCAAAGATGCAATTGCTGTAATATTATTCATCTCAGCACAAAATTGGGTTAATCTCGGGATGAACGCCTATCACTTTGTTCAAGTTGATGTGGTTTGGTTGCAGATGAGGGATGGCAATAATTAATGCGAGATATTCCCTAAAACTTTCTAACTTGGTCCACTAAGCTCCCAGTCCATCTGTCTAGCAGGTGCAGGTCTTTTTGCCTCCAAATGGACCTCCGAAGGAAGGTTCGAGAAGGCAGTTAAGAATAGAGGAATACATTATAGCAGTGATGGTTCCAACAAATTTTTTGAGTCATGACATTCTCCTCACAACAACAGTGGACATTATCAAGACACAGCAAATATCATCCTGACAAGCAATAGAGAAGGTGATAATCTGCAACTGCCTAGATGGGCAAGCTAGGGTATGCCAAATTATCAACATATTTAGGCTAGCTCACCCAATGTTGTTGAAAGGGAGGAGGTGTTTAGTCTGTACTTGATCTTTGGTTTCACTGCCACGATACTAGTGTTGGATAAATAATGTTCCAGGACTTGGGTTTTGTTTCCCCATTCAGCCACAGTCAAATGGAGAAGCAGAGAGGGTAATTTCATCTCCAAAATTGTACATGTGCAACCATAGTGAGTCAAACAGATCCAATAAGACCGTGATACTATGTCACCGGTGAAAAGAGGTATCACCACGCAATTATGAGGTGGTAGCACGTTATGATACCAATATAGTCCAATAGCATCATAAACAATCTGATAGAGATAACAGACATAACAGGAAGAGAGACAATGAGACTCTGTTTTGGGAACACAACAGCTCTGCTGGTAAAAAAAAGACATGCTTAGATCATTTCAACAATCTGAACTTTAGGTTCAATCAGTACCAGAAGAAAGAACCAGAAAAGGCTTTCAATCCATGTCCTTTTTTTTCCTAATTTCTCTAGACTTTTTGACATTATTGAGAACTTGAAAACAATTGATTAAGTAATCTCTCATTCATCCTCATATCAATCTAATGGTGTCATCTATGCTTGGCAGTTGAGACGAGAAGGTTTTTAGCATAGTATCTTCAGATTTTAAACGTACATCAACAATTAGTAGTACTTCAAGTTGCAACTGGTTGTTAGGGGTAATAACATGGATCATAACAAAGTCTGACACAGCTACAACTAAAATCTAAAGTCAAGAGTTTTATCTATTATTTCTGCATTCATTCTTCTTCATTGTCATCAGGCTGAACAGATTGCTCAAACTCCTTATCCATGGTCACACCATTCATTATGTGTAAAATAATCTGCCCTTTCTTGAGATCAACCCTTTCTGATCGAACTCTGTTAACCACCAGCATTCCATCTAATTCCTTCCATATGTATAAACTACATCCTGACAATGAACCATAACTGATCTCCTTACTAAATGGTACCGTAACTGAAGCAATCATACAAGGCACTGCTGAGAACCCAATATGCGAGTAAGTATTTCATATGTATCATTCACTTTCTCAGCCACCAAACTAACATTCACTATTAACCTCAAATCACGCTCAAATGCTTTCTCTGAGGGAAAGAAAACTGTAAATACAAGATCTTTAGGCAACATCTCAAGAATCATTTCTCCCAACTTTCCTATCCTGGGCCTAAGTGAAACAATTGCACCTCCTCCTTTTCTCATTGACACATTTATATCTGGAAGCCTAAGCGCCGATATAAATATAACCAAAAGGCAAGAAATGGAGATCACTCCGCAAACAAAAGTGACCGAGTTCTTATTTTCTTCGATTTATTGTACAACTACAACTCAACTCAACAAAAACTTAATTCCAATTATTCGTGATCGGCTATATAAATGATATCTCTCCATTCATACAGTTATTCATATTAATTTATACGTATCACCAAAGTTTAGAGCCTACGATTCAACACAAATTCAAAGGGATTTTTTTGACCAATTACAATATGATCAATTCTCTAAACTATTTCATTGTAACCCAACATAGCGGATCCATACAAGACGACGAATCGAATCAATAGAACATAACCGTTGATTGGAGAGAAAATGCTGGAGGAAGAACGGAACTGTAACTTTGAATCTCTAGAAGACATGGTTTATTTTACCTTAAAAATGTGCGAAGTACAGAATCTGAATATTTGTTTTCTCTTGATCGACCTATGTGTCGCCTCGGTCCATCATTTCTTGGGTGATCAACATAGAATGAGAACATGAAGATCGTACAAGGAATCAAATTATAATAACTGCTTAGGGTTAGAGTTTTCGAATTCAAGAAGAAAGAAGATACCTGGTTTCAGCATGATCCAATCTGATCCGATGATTACTGTCTAACAGTGTCGTTTCTTTAGTCAGTGTCATGGATGGTACTGTGTGGGCCAACTTGTGAAAGGCTGACTTTTCTGTAATCTATTTTTTATTTGGGTTCTTTAAAAATTGGTACAACTAATTATACTTATCACCATGACGACATTGGATGTGTGCGTTCCAATATAAGTCTATTCTGGCCCCGACTATGTTAGAGTCGATGGTTAGAACTAGATCAAAAAAAATTTATATTTATTTGATAAAAAATATATAAAAAAAAATACACAATTAAATTACAAATACATAATTGCCTATTTTAAGATCATTTAATTTAAAATTTTAATCTTTAAAGTACCTTGATTTATCTGTATTTTTTAATACATATAAATATGTGTATATATATACATATATTCACATATATATCTATATAATAAATCAGATAAATGTTTGAACTTATAGGGGGTATATTTTTCCCCCAAAATTTCACACACCCAACACATACTTTCCTCCTTCAAATTTCAAAAACCCAACACACACACACACACACTCAATAACACACAACTGCTCATACATACACACACTTCAACACACATATTTCAATGCACGCACAATATTATAATTCAGTGTAAAGTGATTTTAGTCATAGGATATCACTATACAAATATATACTATATATGTGTGTGCGTGTGTGTGTGAGGGGGGAGAGGATCGATCTACAAAATAAATATTAGTGAAAGTTTTTATTTAATACAAAATTTATATATAAGACATATTTACAGTAGTAGAGGAGGAATGTAGAAGATAGAGGGTTTATACAAGATAAGAGGGTTCACCGAAGGTGCAAGAGGGAAGAGAAGGAAAGAGTAAGTAGATGAGGTATAGGATGTGGTCTGGGTATGAGATGCGGTCTGGGGGTGGTGCTCCACATGTTGGGTCTGCACCCCTATATATAGAAGTCGGACATGAAATCCAGATTTCAAAACTATCTTATACTATTCACGACTTTATACTGTTTTATAACTTTAATAATTTTACAATGATGTCATTACTTACGTCATAAAATATTATACATTTTTTATTGTGCACTATTCATAGTCGTTATAGTAACGTCAGGGCGTGCGTCACTTCTTTCAGATTTGCTTTATCCGAGAGATCAGTTTTATCTTATCATTTTCTATAAATCAAATTATACAGCACATTATCGCTGTCATCATGAAGGTTTATCTCCATATCATCATTTATTAATAGAATTGTCATTCTTTAAGTGGGGTATATCCTTGAGAATCCATAAAGTTGTCATCAGAATTAATAGGAGTGAGAAATTTTTTATTTTCTTCGTCAAGTTTATCTTTCTCTTTGCTTTTTATGGCAACTATAGGAGTATTGACTATATCCATCTTTTCGGTTTTACTCATGCCAAATGCGGATATGACCTGAAGACGGAATTCCTCCATAACTGCTGCTTTAAGCTGCTTAGAATTTAAATGAGATTTTTTTTTTTAATTATTCTTTAAGAACTTCAACATGATTTAAATCAGTTTCAGTATTTATACTGGTAGAGAGAGTAACAGAAATGGAGGCTTTATCCTTTGAAAATTTATCAATTGAAGATTTTATCTTCTTCTTTATCTATGTTTTTAAAATATTCCTCAATAATCTGACATTTAGAGTCAACGGGGTAATTATTCCAATAACAAACATGGTATTCCCTAATTAGTTTGGAATGTCCGTTATGATTATAATCACAAACCAAAGTTCACGCCCAAATCTATGGAACAAAGAATTCAAAAGAGAAATTTATAATTGACTTAACTTTTATATCATTATTCTTTAAGAACGGACTTTTGTCTTTATACAAGTCAAATAATTTTTTCATTTTTTCAGGATATATCATGTCAATAGCACCATGAGTTTCCTACCAATCATAAAACCAGTTTGAAATTTTTGTACATGTTTTAGTGAATTAAAAAAATCATGTATGTTTTAAATTTATAGCTTCATATAGAAAAGCATTATTTGGAAACATCAATATAATTAAAATAATTATATTCCGTATATGGAGTTTTTCTTAGTGTTCGGGGAATAGTGAGATTAAGTCCCCAGTCTCTATAATCTGTATTATAGTTAAAGAACCTCTGGAATTTAATAGAGTCAGTTTCAACCAAAATATTTTCATAATATTCTCTGTCTTTATTTCCAGAGTATAAAAAAGTATTATCCAGGGTCATAAATCGGCCAACAATATATATACTTGTTGTTAAATCTCTTATCTAAATTTTAAATTATCTTTAATGCACCTTGATTCATTCGTATTTTTTTTTTAGAAAGTGATTTTGTTTTCAAATTATATTTAATACACCTTGATTTATGTGTGTTTTTTTAAAATGGTTTTATTTTTAAATTAATTATTTAATATCCAAATAGTATAATAGTGTAACAATAACAGTGTATCAATAACACTGTAACAAGTATACTGCAACAAATACACTGTAACAAAAACAATGTTCAGTAGTTTGTGCACATGGTAACAAATTCAAAACGGAGATAAAATATTTTGAATGAAATTATATATTTGATAAATTATAATAGTACAATATTTTGTATAAATAGTTTGTTACATTGTTATTGTTACACTATTACACTATTCAGATATTAAATTAATTTGAAAATAAAATTACTTTCTAAAAAAAAACACATGAATAAAGGCGCATTAAATAAACATCACTTTTCAAAAAAAAAAAACGCATGAATTAAGGTGCATTAAAGATAATTCAAAATTTGGATAAGAAATTTAACAACAAGTATATATATATATGTATATACATACATGTATTAAAGATTTCCCATAAAATTAGGATATGTTTAATGCACCACTTTCTAAAGAAAAAATACATAGATTAATGGAGGGAAAAAATGTCACAAAATAATCAATAAAATTCAAATAATGTACTTAAATACAAATAAGTATTAAAATTAAGGACTTAATTACCAAATATTTTTTTCTGTATATTTTTTTACAATTAAGTTTAATTTCGTGTACCTCCTTCCAATTTTCCCATATTACTATTGTCTTAGAGCAATTCCAACCCACTATTGGTCAAAATATATTTAAATATTATCTTTTCTATTTTAACTAGTCATTTTTATAACTTCACTCAAACCACGCTCTTTATTAGCTAACTATTTCATCTAACTTTCACTAATTTTCAATAATTTAAAAGAAATTACAACATATATATATAAAGAGATAGAGAGAAAAAGTGGTGGAATGGGAAATAGAGAGTGAATTGAGGAGTGTTTTTAGTGTTTGCCTAACTAAAATAGCTAAAAAAGAGAAAATATAAAGTGGGTTAAAGTTGCTCTTATCAAATTAATATATATTATTAGGTTAATAAATTTTAAAAATTATTTTTAATTTGATGTTACTAATTCAATTATTCACATTTATTTCATAAATTTAATAATTTATCCATTACTCTTTTCTTTTTTCTCTTGCTATATATATTTGAGAAATTCTCTTGTTGTATATTAAATGACAAAATTAAAAACGGTTGTAGTAAATATCAAGTTCAATCAACAGCAAACTAATAATCGTCTCTTACAAATAATATCATAATTTAATAATAAAATTGCCTTATATTGTTATTAATAATAATTCTATGTCTGAACAAACTCTATAATACTAAAAATCAAACACTAATCGTATATATATTTAAATAGCAACTTTGTTTTCTTTTTAATTATACAATTTACAATTAAGGTAGAAAATGAACAAATAAGAGAGAGATAAGACAAAGAGAAGAGAAGTATAGATTAGTGGGATTGTTTGATATTGACGAGTGCATTAACTGAGTTGTTTAATATTAAGAGTCGCGCAAAAAAAATGATATTTTTGAGTTTTTTTTTTTTAAATGAATTTTGTATAGTAGATGAAATTAGATGAAGATTAGATTAATCTCAACTATTGTTGTGCTTTTATAAATTTACAATTCAAATTGTTAATTGGAATATTAGATAGATTATTGATTGAGCAACAGGGTTAAAAACTGGGCCTAGCTACTATGTCTGAGTTGGGCCTGCTTGGTGACTCCACAATGAGCACCAGCACACAGTTCCAGAGGAGAGATTGTATTTGTCATCGACACATTGTGTTCGATAAATAGTGTCCCAAGACTTGGGCTTTGTAGCCCCATTCAGCCACAGACAAATGGGGAAGCTGAGAGGGTAATTTCATTCCAAAACTAGTACATATACAAATACAGAGAGATAAAGAGTCAAAAGGAGTATACATAGAATAAAACCGTGGCATCAAAGGTGAAAAAAGGCTACCGCCCAATAAAAAGGTGGAAGCACATGTTATCATATCCAATACGGTCAAATAACATCATAAACATGTTGATAGAGATAATAGACATAACAAGTAGAGAGACAAAGAGACTGTTTTGGGAACACAACCACGCTGCTAGTAAAAATGCCTTGCATTTAAGCTGAGTTGCTGCTATCTACACAGATTAGCTGTCGTAGGCATGCTTGGACCATTTTACAACAGCAGATACACTGGCCCCTTGGTTCAATCAGCACCCAAAGAAAGAACAGAAAAGACTTTCAATCGCTTTCCTTTTTGTTTCTTTCAATTTTCTAGTCCTTTTGACATTATTGAGAACTTACAAACAATTGACATATCATATCAATCTCTTGATGATTACCTAACTTTGGCAGTTGGGACGAGAAGATTTTTAGCACAATATCTTCAGAAGTTAAACGAACATCACCAATGTACCTCAAGTTGCAACAGGTTTTTTTTCTGTATGTTGCAACTGGTTGTTAGGGGTAGCATGGATGATAGCACAAGTTTGACACAACTACAACTGAAATCTAATTTCCGAAAAGTTTTATATGCTATTTCTGCCATCATTCTTCGTTATTGTTGTCAGGCTGAACAGATTGCTCAAACTCCTTATCCATGATAACCCCATTCATAATATGTACAACAATCTTCCTCCTCTTGAGATCAACCCCTTCTGATCGAACTCTATTAACCACCAGCATTCCATCTAAGTCCTTGTGTATGTATAAATTAAATCCCGATAATGAATCATAACTGAGCTCCTTACCAAATGGTACTGTAACTGAAGTAATTGCCCGAGGCACAGTTGAGAAACCCAATATGCGAGTAAGTATTGCGTATGTATCATTCACTTTCTCAGCTGTAAAACTACCATTCACCCTTAAACTCAAATCACGCTCAAATGCTTTCTCTGAAGGAAGGAAAATTGTAAATGCAAGATCTTCAGGCAACATTTCAATAATCATTTCTCCAAACTTCCCTATCCTGGGCCTAAATGAACCTATTGCACCTCCTCCTTTTCTCATTGACACACCTACTTCTGGAAGTCTAAGCACCGAAATAAATATAACCAAAAGACAAGAAATGGAGATCACTACACAAACAAAAGCAACTGAGTTCTTCAAAAAGGGACCTCTTCTCATTTTCTTCGATTTATTGTACAGCTACAACTCAACTCAGCAAAGCCACTACATGAAAATAGGTAAGCATTAGGAATAAGCCAACCAAGTGAACGTTGAAAATTCATGTCAGGTAATTAAACAATACCGGCAAATGGCTCAACTTTGTTAAACATCCATAAATAATAGGATTAAAAACTGGGCCTCTACTGAAATGAAACCCATGAATTTAGAGCTGTTGCCAAAATTATGGCTAAGTTAGGCCTGGTCACTCAGTATGAACACCAGCCCACAGTTTCAGAAGAGATGACACATTAATATTATATTTCTCATTAAGTATAGTCAATCAATTACAGAAACACTAAATCTTGTGAACTCTATTACTAAATATTAAATTAACTGGGGTTTATTAATTTTACATGACTATTTGTAATGTTCAATAATATTGCGTGCCATTTATAACATGGTATAATCATTACATTAAATACTTTCTATCACAAAATCAAAACCTCCATTCTTACCTCTTTTCCCAAGCTATGGGAATTGGACTCTGCGTTGGGATGATCATTGATAATGAAGATTAAGCCATGGGGCACAATGTATGACACCCCAGAAGTTGAGATGGACAGATAAGTTCAATGGTCGATTAAGAGATAAAGACATAAATGCAAACGGGTCTAAATTTTCTCACTCAGAAGGGTTTAAATTTAATCAATCCATATGATTAGTGAGTGATATCCAGATTTAAATTTGCTCTCTAACTTCATATTGAAGAGTCAGGTGATTAAAACAATTTGCCCTACCCAAAATAAAAAAAAATAGAAAAAATGTGCAAATCATTTTTCCTTGCTTCAAATTCAAAAGGCGGGAACAAATACAAAAGAGACTACTCTGTGTTGAAATTGAAAATATAGGAACATCCATTGAAAAGCTAAAACAGAAGAAAAGTAGAAGGAGCTAATGACGCAATCGGCTGATAAAATCTCAATACAAACCAAGAGCGTGCATAACAACACCTCTGGATTTAGACATCAACCATTTGAGAGTAACATCAGAAACTTGAAGGGTTCATCTCAAAAATCATCTGAATTTAAAGATTAACCAAGAGCGTGTGCGCATAATTGAGTGTGTGTGTGAGCAACTGTGTGCGTGCGCGTGCTCGATTGAGTGAATGTGTATAAGTGTTTTAGTATACCTCTGTGTGTGAGTGTTCATGTGAGTGCAATTGACTGTATCTCTGTGTTTGAATTTTTCCCGTGTGTGTATGCATTTGAGCAGAGAGAGATTGGGAGGGAGAGCAGAGGAAGAGTGGGACCTGATTCGGGTTCAATTCAAGCTTCTGCATCTCCACTACAAGCTCGATTCCAGCTACTTTAATTCTCCAACACAATGGCAGTTGCAGCTTGCTCGAATCAAACGAAGAACCATTCATTAATGGCAAAAAAATGACTATCACCAGAGGGTAATCTATTGAGAACAGAAGAATGGATTCGTTCAACAGATTCAAAGCTCGTTTCAAGATAAAATGCCGATTCAAGATTACAAGCTCGAATGGTGAGCAAAAAAATTCGTTAATGGTGATTCCAAGTCGAAGACAACATGAGAAGAAAGGAAACGATTATACTCTGTAGAAGGGATGAACAAGACAGGATGGGAGAAATCTAGGTTTTTCAGTTGTTGAGGGGGAGAGAAGACGGAATGGAAGCAGACGTAGTTTTAGACAGTTTTTAAACCCGGCCCGGACCTCAACCCAACAAAGGAACCAAGTTAATGGGCCGTCACTGGTTGAACCAGTCATATACTTAAAAAATTAAAGTAATTATTAATAACAATAAATATGCTAAAAAGTTGTATCAATTATCAAAATATCATGTTTAATGTATATCAGATCAAACAAAACTAAGAAACTATGAAACATGTATCAAATGCATCTAATTTTTAAGACAATTTATAAAACTAAGTGGAAAAAAGTACCTCTCCATTAAGTGAAATTCCAATGATACTACTGCTTGCTCTCATCCTTGTCATTGGCGGCCACCTAGAGTGCATCTGTGGTAAGAGTTATCAGTGTGTCAAATTTTTCAATCTTCCTTGGGACAATTTCAATTCAATTCCCAAGTCGGTTTAACTCACATTCCAATCAATTTCAAGATTCAAATTCAACCACAGAAGCATAGGCCCAAATGGGAAAAAAATCATAGAGATGAGAAATATTACCTGTTGGATGTTGATGCTGCACTGCTGGCACTGTGAGATGGTGAGATGTGCTGCTGTGATTGTGAGAGGATGAGAGAAATCAACAAGCCGAAGAATCTGAGGAGTAATCGCCCACAGAAGGTGGTCAAGATTAACGAACTCCTATCAAATGTGGTGACTGGTAGATAGAGAGATGTAAATGAGATGAGGACGTCAGAGTAATATCTGAAATGTGATTACCGGAGAAGATCGTCGGAAATTAGCGAGTCAGCGAGAGTGGACAGGCCACTGAGACGACGAGGGAGAGCAGCGGGAGCAATATGCCAAAACATGTTGGGGGGTTTTAGGTTTTATAGATTTACCATAACCGTCCAAACATACACAATTTTTTTGTGTAATTAATTAGTATAATAAAGTTTGATAAAAAAAGAAAAATTAGTATAATAAGGTAACACCGAGTGCGGGTGATCCACTGCGATATCAGACAAATTTCTCCATGATTCGTGTCTTAAAGTTTATATTGGAATTCGGTAGTTAACCATTATACTAATCTAACTAGATTTTTTCTTGAGAAGAGTAATGGGCGTGATTCAAAGCTTCATGATCCCACCTAGGGATGTCAATTGTGTCGTGTCTTGTTAGTTTCGTATCGTCTCACTTTCAGTGTATGTCGGGTTTGTGTCAATTTTAAAATAAAATTATTAATAATAAAATGAATAAATATCCAGTACTAAAAAATTATTAATAATAAAATGAAATTATCACATCGTTGGTTACAAATAGTGATATAATTTGGGGTAAATTTTATTTTACTCGGTTTAATCCATTTGTACATCACTACTCTAGGGTAAAAAAAAATAACACATAATCCTTAATTAATATTAGAACGGTTTGTAACCTATAAATTTTAAAATTTTAATTGCATTAAAAATACATGAATTATTGGATATTAAACCATTTCACCTCTTCAATATTTTTCATTTCCATGTACGCCTACACAAAATGGAAATGTCTCTCTCTATCTCCCCCCTCCCCCAATTGAACCATAAAGAGTATTTCACATATGGATTTAAGATTTTAGTGGTAATTCACATGTGATTTTATTATAAAAGTATTGATTAGATTTTAATATTTGAGAATTTTTTTTTTGAAATCCTATCTTAATTATTTAAATGCCAACAATAGAACATAATCTTTAATAGCTCCCATTAAAATTATTTTCATTGTTGATATTATTTAAAATCGAGTAACATATTCTCACCTATTCATATCTCTACTCCACTCAGAATTTAAGAGATTCATCTTTCATGTGTATAGAAAGGACAAGAAATTTATCAAATACCTTATTAATATTACCTTCACCATGTTTTCTTATCCCTATTGAATTACTAAGTAACTAGAAAAACTCATTTCTCCCCTTTTATATATAGAGAATAAGAAATTAGTCAAAAATTATATAGATAACTATGTTGTGTTATTGGATGAAGTGGTAGTAGAGGTGACAATTCGCGAGTCTTATAAATGAGCAAAATTTTATTTATTTAATTTATTGCTTAAAGATAGTAAATTTTAATGGATTATGTTAGTATTTTTTTTTTCATAGGCATTTATATATATAATGTTATTTTAGAGAGTTTTTATATATTTTTATGATAGTTCCATTAATATAGAAGATATAATCGACAATATATTTTGAGTCATTTTAAAAAAAGAATTTGTATGAATATTTTTACGGCATTTTTTTTGAATTTGGACAATTGTTTAAATTTTTTTTTTTGTTGTATAGTGCCTTCAAGCATGAGTAATAACTAATTTATCTATATAATAAGGTAGAACGAAATTTGAATCCAAAAGACAAAGAGAGGTCCAGATTGTTTTGAGACAAAACATATATATATATATATATATATATATATATATATATCCAACGGTCAATGTAATCCCAACATAAAAGACGGTTCAGATCATCTCAAATATATTGATTTAACAGTCTACACTTAGTTCTGAATTTTTTTTCCCGCCTATGAAGAAGCTTTTTATCGTAAGACTCAACACTTTTATCTCTCATATATTTCTATCTTAAATTTAAAAAAGTACAATAATAACTCAGATTGAATTTATTTTAAATTAAATGATCTAAATTCATCAAACTTAATTCAATGGCTCACAACACATCCCACACAAAAATAAAATCCCACCAGAGACGGAGCCAGAAAAATACATTAGGGTGGGCACATTAATAAATTTTAATTATTTTTTTATCAATATTACGGATGACTTAATTTAATGTAAATGTTATTTTAGTTGTAAATTTTAATGTTAGATGAAGTCTAATTTCAATTAAAGAAGTGCATTGAATTATGTCATCAAATTAGATCTAAATAGCATTTTTCATTTTTTTTTTCAATTGATCATAGAAGTTCATAAATTCATATTTACTATAATTATGCGTAAAAATTCATTAAACATAAAAGGTTAAAAAACGATTTGCATGGAATGAACAAACAAAAAATAAAAGTAAATTAATTAAAATTTCGTATAAGACTAATTATTATCATTTTATAATTAAATCTGATTGTTGTTTATCATTTAAAAGAATTACAAATTAATAATATCAATAAATACTTTTTTTTTCTATATACAAAATGAGAATAACAATCTTTCATTTATTACCTTGTAATTTATAACATTATGACACTCATTTTTGTACAATAATAAAATAATCCTATAATTTAGAAAAATGAACACGATATGTCTAAAAATTATTCAGACATGTCCATGTCTAAAAATTTAAGAATAATAATAATTGCATTTAATTCGAAATTTAA